TATTATATTAAAACTTAAAATCACAATAATTCGTTGACCAACTCATGAATGCAAACCGCCTTACACTGCAGTTCTTTACTAAAATCAGTCAGCATTATTTTGTTTTCGGGAAACAGGCATCTGTGTGCTGCGGCTACCAGTAAATACTCTTTGGTGCGACGAAACGGAACCACCAGCGGTTTTTTGTATTTCAATTCTTGGTAAATATTTTCTGATACACTATATTTTATTAATTGGTAACATAATATGTCGTGTAAATGGCAATTTACCTCTAGTGAGGTACTGTAAAAAGAAAGCATTGTATTGTAGAACGAATATTTTTTTAAGCTATCGAGGTTTCGATAAAATAAAAAAAAGCGCTAGTGGTTCTTTGTACCCAAGTGTAGATAAATCTCAAATTGAAAAAGTTTATGAAATCGACTCAAATACTAATCCAAAATCCAAAAGCTGAAATTCAAATAACTGGTGGAATATGTCAATTTTTATCACTATTCTTACTACGGCATAATTCAAAACTTGCCAGGAACATAAACCTTCGAGACCGGAATACAAATTGCTAATAAGACACTTGATCATAGTTCAACCTTGCAAATCTCTGTGACACCATACACCATTCCTATCAAAATTTCCCTTTGGCAGGCGTTCGTCTCAATTCGATGCCTTCGTTAAATCCAGACGATATAATGCTGACGTCGATTCCACCTCATTTACCCCCAAAAGGGCTTCAAATAAATCCCTTTTTGACATTCTTTTTTATTCTTCGCGTCTGCGTAATAATAATTCTTGGAAACAGGACAGCTACCATATTTTATCGAAGATCAAGAATACGGACATATTTGAAGTTTCTTTTATAATGAAAAGTACTGCTAATGTTACAAAGGGTCTTGCATTGAAAACTGATTCTGTGATCAGTCAATTGGTTGTAGTTATATCATATTTTTTGCGTGATCGTTGAGTTTTAGATATTTGTTTGTCTATTACAATTATATAATATTTTATCTTAAGTTTAAAGGGTTCAAAACTACCAACGGCAAGTACCAATGTGACTTTTTCCGAGTTATATGTACTTTTTAAGATTATCTAGACACCGCTGACAAAAGGTGAAGGAAAACATCGTAAGGAAACTTGCTTATAATTTCTAATTATATGTTTGTAATCGCCAACCCGCATTGAGTAAGCGTGGTTAATGCTCAAACCTTCTCCGTGTGAGATGAGTCTTTGCTCAGCAGTGGGCATTTATAGGCTGTTGATGATGATAATGATGATGATAAATTATTTTATCTTACAAGAAATGATAGATAGTGAGATGTTTTGTTAAGTATGTAAGTTTATGTTTTGTTAAGTATATGTACATATTATAATTTTTTTCATATTAAATGTTTTACTTCTCATTACCGAACGTGAATGTGCTAATTAAGAATTGCAATATATTTTTGAAAACTGTTAGATCAATTCTTTTTAGAGTGTTTTGTGCATTGAAACGAAACTAAAAGAGAATTTGCTTATAAAATATTGTAGCAACTAACATAAAACGGCTTGTACCAGGCTTTTGCCCATAGGTATTTTGTGTAACATGATCGACAGTTTAATTTACTTGTCAGTTGCGCCTTTATGCAGAGTGATGTATCGGATACTAAACATTAGTTTGGTAACTGTGAAGTAGGAAAATTGAGCGGTGTTTTATTTTTGACCATTTTTTTGGGTTGAATTTGGTCAAGAAAATGCTATTGAATTCAGATATAAACAGTAACCCTGATCGTAGACGATATAACTCAATTCATTTTTCATATCTTGTAGGAAATACATGTTTAAAATTGAATTGTATAATCGTGTAATACAAACGTTATTGGATTATAAATCTACATTATTCCGTTGTAGACTCCGTGAATCGCAAATGTATAAAAATTCATATATATAAATATATTATCCCTCAGAAATATCTTAATAGATGAAAGGAAGCTTCCTCTTGTTTCTTTGAACCTATTCAAATTTACTTTTATTTCTGTAGAAACATTTCATTTTGACATACTAAACAGATCATGGTTTGATCCAAAAATTGTAAACATTATTCATTAAGCAAAGGACTGCAATTATTCCATCTAGTTTTATTGAACAACAAACAAAGCAATATTTTTCAGTACACAGAATTAATTTTGTTATAGGCTTTGTAAAATCACGCTTCGTTACAAGCTGTATAACAAAATTTTAAAACTATTGGACGATAAAACCCATAAAATTCCATAGACCGGTGCATTGGCGAATTCGATAGAATTTTTTAAAAGTTTTTGACAAACGTTATTTGCTTACAGGTTGAAAGCGGGCCTTTCGATGATTTTATTGTTTTACATGGCGCTAGAGGAAATTGTAGGTTTTCGGTGGAAACACTCCGGGGAATGTTCGTTTGGTAATTCAATTGTTTCTATTATACTATTATTTTTATCAAATACAATTTAAAAGTTGTGTTTCTTTTTCAATTTGTTTTCAATCGATATTAACTAGGTTCTACATCGGGTCTTTTATATTAAATTATTTTTTCTTTTTATTATAATTATAGAACCTAGTTAATATCGATATATTGATCGACTTAAAAGTCACAGCAAGCTTACAACACATAATACGTATCTGATATCCCAAATACACTTATTAAAAAAAGTATGATGACATTATGGACCCAGCGACACTCCTTGAGGCATTCCAAACTTCACTACTATTAGTCAGAATAATTAGACCGATGTAGTAATCCTTATGCTCCTTCAATTAATAGATAGAGTAGGTATAATAATGTGAATTGCACAGTTAGGCGTTCATCATGCACTAAGTACCTAAGTAATTACTTTAGTGTTCAACCTTATCAGATGCCTTAGACACGTCGTCGATTGAAACATAGTGAAGTTGATTAATTAATATTGAGAAATACATTAGGTGCGAGTGTGCGGTTAATAATACACTACCATCCATGTATCTTATTTATTTACAAAGTATCGTACTATATAGTACTAGTTTCTGCCCGTAGGATCGCATGCGTACCCGTGGGATAAAAAGCCTGTGTGTGACCAAAATCTAATTCCTGTTAAAAATTTCACCCCGATCTCGTCTCCACCAGGTGGAGTGACAAACAAACACACAAACTCACAAACTTTCGCATTTATAATTATAATAATATATATAATTAATAATATATAATTTATTTGTTTACTAAGTTGTTGGGAGTAACTTAATGAAAAAATAATAATCGTTGTAAGTACTTTCGAGACAAAGTAGACATAACATCATCACGCCTTTTATCCCCGAAGGGGTAGGCAGAGGTGCACATTATACCACTGTACAATGTAACACCCACTTTTC